ACTTGCGTCTGCGGAAATTAGTTTCTTGGATCACTAATTGGGCGTCTCTGAATTTCATGAGATGATTGGTGGAATTTCGGTGTTGTACACAGGCGTTGTTCAAGTTATCGTTCCTACATGCGTAAATGTGTTCATTGAGGCGGGTGTCGAGGTTTCTTGCTGTTTCACCTACGTAAATCTTGTCACAGCCTCCACAGGGTATAGTGAAAACTCCTGCATTGACTTGTTCGTGGTGCTAGGATTTTGTCCTGGTTAGATCCTTTATTGAAGTGCTAGAAGCGATGGCGACTCTGGTGTTAGCTTGTGAAAGTACTTTTGAGACGTTCAGTGCAACCTGGCTGTTGGGAAGAATTTTAACTTTGTTGGGAGTGGTGTTGATGCGTGGAGAATTAATGATCTGAAGAGCTCTTTTCTTGCAGTCTTTGATGAAAAAAGGAGGAAAATGTAACTCAGTGAATGTTTGGTGAATGTATGTACATTCCTCGTCAAGAAACTCAGGACTACAAATTCGGTATGCTCTTAGGAAAAACCCAATGATGATGCCTCTTTTGGTCTTGGTATCTTGACTGGAATAGAAGTGTGTGAGATCATTTTTATTGGTGGGTTTCCAATAAACTTGAAATCTTAGGTTGTTGTCTACTTTGTGAATGAGGACGTCGAGGAAAGGTAGCTTGTCATTGGACTCTTCTTCTAGTGTAAACTGGATCACCGGTTCAACTGTGTTGAGCCTTGCCTGAAGATCCCGTACATCAAAACGTTTGGGAGTTATTACGAGGACGTCGTCCACGTAACGTAACCAAGTGACGCTTGAAGGGATGATGTTGGCAAAATGTTCGGACTCTAGGTGTTCCATGTATAAGTTGGCTAGGACGGCACTGATGGGGGACCCCATTCCCATACCGTAGGTTTGTTTGTAGAGCTTGTTATTGAAAGAAAAACAGTTGAAATTAACACAGAGTTCAATCAAGTCGACAAAATCTCCGGGAGGTAGAGGAAGATCAAGGTCATGATTGACTTTACGTCGTAGAACCTCGATGGCTTTTTTGGTAGGTACTTTTGTGAAGAGGGAAGTCAATCCAAACTGCTTAGATTGCCTGGCAGAGAAGGTGATCCGTAAGTCTACTCCTGCACAACTCTCCAACTCCAAGCACCCCTTCTCTCCAGCTACCCAAGCTTATTTAACTGAATGTGCCGAAGAACTTTCTAACATCGCTAAGGAAACCTTTGAAACTGCAAGGAATATGAGGGCCAATCTTCAGATTGACCAACACACTGCTGAGCATATTCTCAACACAGTCACCACAGCTAACCTCCAACAGAAGATCAAACTCAACCGCAAACTTCAGTACCTCTGCACTAACAGTCGATGGAAGGAAATGGGACGCGAATCCCTGATAAACAACTTATCATCATGCACCTTAACCGACTACGAGAAACAAGCAACCGAGTCTGGGACTCAAATTTACACCAACATACACAAACCTAACTATCAAACTCAATCTAGTACCAGGAACCATAGACACAGTGACAGCAACTTCCAGAAGGGTTATATACAGGGCCTTCTCCACTGCAGCTTTATGTGAACCTTCTTCTTCTAATCTTCCTAGACGATACATCACTGCCCTTAAGAAACCCTCAGCCAACGACCCCAACATTATCGTCACCACCGCCGACAAAGGAGGTGGAGTCGTCATACTCAACACCAGTGACTACAACACTAAAATGATGGACCTTTTGAATGATCAATCTACATACGAACCCATCAGCACTCAACAGTGGGAGACGCTCACCAAAGATTTTCTATACAAGACCAGACAAATACTCAAACGCACTAGAGAAGGGAAGAAACTTATGCACTTGTTACCAAGCAACCCTAAACCAGCACACATGTATGGTTTACCCAAGACCCATAAGCACAATATTCCTCTCAGACCAATCACATCCGGAATAGGCAGTGCTCCACACAAACTAGCCAGAATTCTTGCCAAACATCTTTCCTGCCTTCTGGGGACCATCAGCCCCGCTCATCTTAAACACTCAGGCGACCTTCTCAACCGCATCCGTAACCTCTCCATCCGTAACAAGAAACTAAGCAGTTTGGATGTGACTTCCCTCTTCACAAAAGTACCTACCAAAAAAAGCCATCGAGGTTCTACGACGTAAAGTCAATCAGGACCTTAATCTTCCTCTACCTCCCAGAGATTCTGTTGACTTGATTGAACTCTGAGTTAATTTCAACTATTTTTCTTTCAATAACAAGCTCTACAAACAAACCTACGGCATGGGAATGGGGTCCCCCATCAGTGCCGTCCTAGCCAACTTATACATGGAACACCTAGAGTCCAAACACTTCGCCAACATCATCCCTTCAAGCGTCACTTGGTTATGTTACGTGGACGACGTCCTCGTAATAACTCCCAAACGTTTTGATGTACGGGATCTTCAGGCAAGGCTCAACGCAGTTGAACCGGTGATCCAGTTTACATTAGAAGAAGAGTCCAATGACAAGCTACCTTTCCTTGACGTCCTCATTCACAAAGTAGACAACAACCTAAGATTTCAAGTTTTCGGAAACCCACCAATAAAAATGATCTCACACACTTCTATTCCAGTCAAGATACCAAGACCAAAAGAGGCATCATCATTGGGTTTTTCCTAAGAGCATACCGAATTTGTAGTCCTGAGTTTCTTGACGAGGAATGTACATACATTCACCAAACATTCACTGAGTTACATTTTCCTCCTTTTTTCATCAAAGACTGCAAGAAAAGAGCTCTTCAGATCATTAATTCTCCATGCATCAACACCACTCCCAACAAAGTTATAATTCTTCCCAACAGCCAGGTTGCACTGAATGTCTCAAAAGTACTTTCACAAGCTAACACCAGAGTCGCCATCGCTTCTAGCACTTCAGTAAAGGATCTAACCAGGACAAAATCCTAGCACCACAAACCAGTCAATGCAGAGGAGTTTACACTATACCTTGTGGAGGCTGTGACAAGATTTACGTAGGTGAAACAGCAAGAAACCTCGACACCCGCCTCAATGAACACATTTACACATGTAGGAACGATAACTTGAACAACGCCTGTGTACAACACCGAAATTCCACCAATCATCTCATGAAATTAGTGATCAAAGAAACTAATTTCCGCAGACGCAAGTGCCTCGAATCAGCACTGATCGCTGTTTTGAATACAATTAAACAAAACAACGGCAGCTTCACCATCTCCGAAGTCTTAGCAAGAATCCTCCTGAAAACAGTAAACCCTGCCATCACATAGTCTCTCCTGTTATACTACACAAAGCACATTACAGAGAGTGAACACTGAAACAGGCTGCCTCTTTCCAGTCTATATTTGTCCAACCTATTTTTATGTTACCCAAGTAATAGCTTTTATATCCTTTTACTCATGTACGAATTAATTGCTCTACCATATTGTATTACTTTTGTCACTACTACTACTAACTACACTACTACTACTACACTACCACCACTAGTAAACATTGAAATAGTACCTCACTAGTATTGCACCTCACTCTGAGCCTTTATATACCCTCTGTGTCCATGTATTGTTTGTAATGGCTTGATAAAGCTCCTGGAGAGCGAAACGTTGCCACAATAAAATGTCACATTAGTTGCACTTGTCCTTTTACTTTACATATTGTCGGTAATTCTACCAACTTTATTACAATAATAATGTAAATTTGATAGTGTTAAAAATGGTATATATGCTTAAAGCACTGGATAACCAAGTGGTGTGGAAATTAAAAAAAACATGCAAAGTAGGAATCAAGAATTCAGTTTATATATACTTAATACCCTCTTGTAAGACATGTTGCACACCCACATAAAACAGTGTTGGTGCTATGAAGAGTTGGTGAATGTTGAAGGTCTCGGAACTTGACTGAAATAGCGACAGATTTCTATGAAAATTTGTTGGAAGGCAAGTTTTTATAATAAACATTTATACCTAGTGATGTTGTTACTAGTGTTGTTACTATGATCGTCCTGTGGTATTTTCATGCAAGTTTTATTAATTTTGATATTTTTATGCAGCATTAATACAATTATCCTGAGAATTTGAATAATTAGCACCACAAAAATTTGACTTGCATCTCTAATTTTCTGTTACTATTTACTCAATAATAATTATTAATTGAAACAGAAAGCCTTAATAAAATTCAGTAAGTTTTAACTAGATTAAAGGTTAGTGTTGGGGTTGTGCAAGTGGGGTTGTTCGAGAGCTGTTGGTTTAAAGTAGCATTTTAAATATACGATTCCTTTTCTATATAGTTAGTCTAAAGCATAGTGAAGGATGAGATCGTTATCTTGGATATGTTAACGAAACCCGAGTACAAATAACATGATGTATACCTGTCACTATGAGTACTGCCATCACAGTGGTCATATGTGCAATACACTACTGTACAGCTTTGTCATTTTTCCAAAATTTTCATTCAGGTTTATGTAAAAAGGTTAAAAATATTTGAATACTGGATTCTCAGTATTATATTCTATATTTGTATTGCTTTTACTTGGAAATGACATTACAGCCTCTCCTCACTTAACGACAGTTCCGTTCCCGAGACCATGTCGGTAAATGAATTTGTCGCTATGTTAGAAGCATACTATAATGGTAGTGGGTTTGTGTCAGCCATCTTTGATATTGTTTTAATGTCACCTTTTCACCATTTATAACATTTTTAGTATTTTAAATGTTTATACAACAGCATACTGTATATTATAATAAACAGAATGGAGGAAATCAGCTCTAAAATACCATTTGGTATGCAAACTGGTGAGAGAGGCCGACGTAAGTACGAGTTGTTGGTAAACGAGTACGTCACTGAGGAGAGGCTGTAATGTGTACATACTTTTAAAAACTCGTAATGTGTATTTTTGTGCATTACGAAAGTTATTGTAACATAGTTTCTCAGTAGTTAACTTTTTATTTAAACTATTTGGTTATGTTTCTTGTTTTATTCATGTTAAACAGCCAGTGAGCAGTAGTAGCAGTAGCAATAACAGCAACAGTAGTAGCAACAGAATGGAAGATACTCACACCCCTGCCCAAAGGCAAGCCGCGGCACGTCTGGCTCTTCGGAAGCAATTAGAGAAGACGCTGCTCAGGGTAAGATGAGATTATAAACTTAGTATAACACTGTAGAACAGTTTAGTGCTAATAACTAGAATAAGATTTGTATTATGGTATACAATGAAAATGTTAACCTTAACATTTGGTTTTTCACACTTAGTGTATACAGTAATTTGAATTCTTGGAACTGTTTATCACTTTTAGCAACTTAAAATGTACTTAAATTTTTCTTTTCATATGAAGATTCCACCTCCTAAACCACCACCTCCAGAGATGCATTTCATCCCAAATCCAAACAACACAGAATTTATATACTTGTTGGGTCTTGAGCAGTGCGTAGAACATATACTCTTGAATGGCAAGATGTCAGATCCCCACCCTACACCCTTCATTTGTACACAGTGTGGCACCGACTTTACCCCAGCCTGGAAATGGGACAAGGCTTCACTGAAATCCAAAGGCAAGTAAATTGTAACCCCTTCTCTTGTATAAATTACTAAATTTAAAAAGAGAGACTTTCGCTTTTCTTTTTAGGTCACCCTTCCTTGGTGGGATAAGACGGGTTTGTTGAAAGAAAGAAGATATATATATATATATATATATATATATATATATATATATATATATATATAATATATAAATATATATATATATATATATATATATATATATATATTATTAATATAATATATATATATATATATATTATATATATATATATATAATATATATATATATAATATTATTATATAATATATAATTATATATATATATAATATATATATATATATATATATATATAAATTATATATATTAAATATATATATATATATATATATTATAGGTAGTAGGTTGGTAGACAGCAACCGCCCAGGAGGTACTACCTCCTGCCAATGAGTGTAAAACGAAAGCCTGTAATTGTTTTACATGATGGTAGGATTGCTGGTGTCCTTTTTTCTGTCTCATGAACATGCAAGATTTCAGGTACGTCTTGCTACTTCTACTTACACTTAGGTCACACTACACATACATGTACAAGCACATATATACACACCCCTCTGGGTTTTCTTCTATTTTCTTTCTAGTTCTTATTCTTGTTTATTTCCTCTTATCTCCATGGGGAAGTGGAACAGAATTCTTCCTCCGTAAGCCATGCGTGTTGTAAGAGGCAACTAAAATGCCGGGAGCAAGGGCTAGTAACCTCTTCTCCTGTATATATTACTAAATGTAAAAGGAGAAACTTTCGTTTTTCCTTTTGGGCCACCCCGCCTCGGTGGGATAACGGCCGGTGTGTTTTGAAAGAAGAATATATATATATATATATATATATATATATATATATATATATATATATATATATATATATATATATATATATATATATATATATATATATATATATATATATATAAATGTGGATAGGGGAGCAATGTGGTAGATGTTGCAAGTATATAAAATTGGTAGTAGGTTACTAGATGCTGTCAACATGGTAAATTAACATGTTTATAGATGGGGTTGTAAAAGAAGTAAATGCTAGGGTGTTGGGGAGAGGAGTGGGATTAAAATATGTGGAATCGAATACAATATGGAAGTTGACAGTTACTTTCTGTTGATAATACTGTGCTTTTGGGAGATTCTGAAGAGAAGTTGCTAAGGTTAGTGGACAAGTATGGGAGGATGTGTAAAGGAAGTTGAAAGCGAACATAGACAAGAGTATGGTGATGAGGGTATGGTAAGGAAAAACTGGATATCAGATTGGAGGGAGGGAATGTGTGTGTGATGGGACTTACACAGATGACAGCAAAGAAATGAGAGATACTGAAATCCCAATATGACCCCCTCTCCTTCATCAATCTCCTCTAACACCTCCACCAGTTCTTTCCCCTCCCTCTTGTGTTTAGCAAGCCATTAATCAGACTAAGGGTTGACAATCTAAATTAATTTTTTATGACTTGAGGCTCAAAATTTGGTCAGTTCAAAAATTTCTGATACTATCCTAACAAAGACCTTGAAAAAGCAATAAATAGCATCCCAATGCGCTCTGCCCCAGGCCCAGACTCGTGGAATTCCGTGTTCATCAAGAACTGCAAGAAGCCCTCTCACATGCCTTAAGTATTCTGTGGAGTGGGAGCATAGACTGTAGGGGTCATCCTACAGTCACTAAAAACAACAGACATAACCTCACTCCACAAAGGTGGCAGTAAAGCAGTTGCAAAGAATTGCATACCGTTAGCACTAATGTCCCACATCATAAAAATCTTTGAAAGGGCTCTAAGAAGCAAGATCACCAACCACTTAGATATTTATCAGTTGCACAACCCAGGGCACCATGGGTTTAAAGCAGGTTGCTCCTGCCTATCCCAACTACTGGACCACTGTGACGTGATCTTAGATGCTCTGGAGGACAAACAAAATGCAGATGTAGTATACACAGACTGAGAAATCCTTTGACAAGTGCAATCATGGTGTAATAGCACACAAAATGCGTGATAAAAGAATAAGAGGAAAAGTTGGTAGATGGATCTATAACTTCCTAACAAATAAAACAGAGTAATAGTAAACAGAGCAAAATCCGAGACGGCTTCAGTGAAAAGCTCTGTTCCACAAGGTACAGTATCAGTACCCATCGTCTTCCTTATCCTCGTATCTGACAGAGATGTAAGCCACAGCACTGTGTCCTTTGCTGATGACACCCGAATTTGTAAGACAGTGTCATCCATTGAAGACACTGCAAGTCTCCAAGCAGATCTTCCCCAAATCTTTAAATTGACCATTGAAATATGAAGTTCAGTGAAGACAAATTTAAATTGCTCTGCTATGGAAAACTCGAGGAAATTAAAACTGTAACGAGTACAAAAATTCCAACCACACAGTAGAGCGAAAAACTAATGTGAAGGACCTAGGAGTCATAATGTCAGAGAACCTTACTTTCAAAGATCACAACAATGTATCTACCACATCATATTATTATAATAATAATAATAATAATAATAATATATCTTTATTTCTACAAGTACATGTACAAGGTATATAGGCCTAAATGACATCAGTGACATACTACTATATAGAAAGCTGCTTGTTATGCTGAGTATTTCGGGCAAATTAGATCAGTTTTGTCCCAGGATGTGACCCACACCAGTCGACTAAAGCCCAGGTACCCATTTTATATTGATGGGTGAACAAGGACAGCAGGTATCTTATGGAAACACGTCCCTAATGTTTTCCAGCCGTACCGAAGATTTGAACTCCAGACTTCATTGTGTGAGCTGAGTGCTCTAGCGATCAAGCTATGGGACACCATAGGATGGATAATGAATAGCTTCAAAATGAGGGATGCCAAGCCATTGATTATTCTCTTAAAATTTTTTGTTTTCTCTAGGCTGGAATATTGCTGTACACTAATGGCCCCTTTTAAGGCGGGTGAAATTGAAGACCTGGAGAATATGCGGAGAACTTTCACAGGACATATAAGTATAATAAAGCGCCTAAATTACTGGGAATGGTTGAAGCCCCTTGATTTGTACTTGGAATGCAGAGGAAGAAGATACAAGATAATATAAACTTGGAAAATCCTAGAGGGACAAATCCTAAATATGCACATGAAAATCACTACCTACAAAAGCAAAAGACTTGGCAGGAGATGCAACATAACCCCAATGAAGATCAGGGGCACCATGAGTACGCTAAGAGACAACACACTAAGTGTCAGGGGCCCAAGGCTGTTCATATATAAGACCCCTGGCTGTCTTCAAGAAGGCCCTGGACAGGCACCTAAAATCAGTACCTGACCATCTGGGGTGTGACTTGTATGTCTGTGCGACCAGCAGTAACAGCCTGGTTGGTAAAGTTCTGATCCACTATGAGGCCTGGTCATGGACCAGGCTACAGGGGGCATTGACCCCCAAAACCCCATTCCGGTATACTCCAGGTATACCCCCTCCCTCCAACCTTTCTTGTATGTGTGCACATGCATAATTTTTTTTTTTTAACATGTTGGCCGTTTCCCACTGAGGCAGGGTAGATATATACAGTTGTGCTCATATTTAATGTTATTTTCTCATGAAATTGAATTTGTTGGCACTTAAGAAAAAAAGATATCAGAATAATAATAATCACGAAGCAAGTCTTGTCATGCAAGTGCAAAACTTGTCTGTTAATTTTGTGCACATTATCAGGATTGATGTTTTATCCTTTTTTTGTTTGGTGGCCATGCAAAATGGTAGTAAATGTTGGAAGCTAATTTTTATATTCAATATATACTTGTGTCAGTAGTGTCACTGATTACCTGTATTACTTGTGTAGTATATATAATAAAGCTGGTTAATGTCTACATGTATATATACTGCACAAGTAATATAGGTAATCAATGACACTACTGACAGCTGTAGCTTTAGTGTATTGTCTTCAATATTTATTATCCCTAGTACAGTAATATTTACTTATTATTAGGCCTAATATGAGAGGGATTCATGGTGCTGATCCCTGGAAACTTTAATACATTAATCTAACTTTAAATGTGATTGACTTTCAGCTCATCTGAAGTTATCCTTTTTTTTTTTTTTTTTTTTTGTGTAGTTAAGGGTGAAAATGGAAGAGACGTGAAGGTAGTGTGCGAGCTGTGTGTCACGACTAATATCAAGCAGGCGCTCAAGCAGGAACACACAAATCGTCTCAAAGCTGCATTTGTGAAAGCTCTGCAACAAGAACAGGAGATAGAGGCCCGTATGGCGCAGGTATGGGCACGTAAGGTACAAGCTGTGATAGATGTTTTGTCTTGTCAGTAATGCTAGAACAGCTTTGAATGTTGTCCAGCAGTTTAGTAATGTTACATTACAGCAACAACTTCTTTCACTTGACATGGAAAGTCAGTAGTCTATATGTTTCTTGTAACCAGATAAAGAAGGTAGGCACTGTTATTCTGTCTTCCTTTAGACCTGTGCGGATGCCATGTGCATATTGAGGTACGTATACTAGGAAATGGACAGAACTTCAATAATGTAGACAGTAGAGGGAATGCAGAGATACAGGAAAGTATTGACAGGTCTCTCTGGCTGGCCACTGATGATAAATATCTATTATGCTTAATAAACCCCTAAATAATTTATAATATGACTGACTCAGTCTGGTATCTTGACTCTCCTCCCTCTCCCCTTACCTTCCTCTCCACTACCCTACTTATCTACCCTACCCTACCTTACCTGCCCACCTACACTCCATCTCTCTCCCCTTCCCTACATCCCTCCCTCTCTTCCTTTTCCTCCCTCTTCTCCCCTTGTCATTCCCACATCCTCCCTCTCCCTCTTTCCCTTCCAATCTCTTACCATCCCTCCCCTCACCTCCATCTTAGTGACTTGATCATCTTCCTGTATCCATTAGTCTATCCCCCCTTGTCTCCTCTCAACTTTCATCTCTCCCTCCTTTATAATTAAGATAAGCACACATAAATGTAAAGTACACAACATTAACATGTAAGAAGTACAATACCAGGTGTTATCTTAATGTGATTGTTGTGCAGTGTACATTATGACTTAATACTCTGTAAACAATGTCATAGTGTTGTTCATGCAGTAATGAAAGTATCATTTGTTTACTTTGACTCTTAACTTTAAGTTATGACTAGCATGTTAACTCTGACACTTTCATTGTGTCCATAAGTTCTGCTGCTGCTGTTCTAACATGTAATGTTATCCATGGCAGCAAGTTCTGCTGCTGCTGCAACACTGTAGTGCAATCTGGCAGCAAGCTCTGCTGCTGCAACACCATAATGATAACCATGGCAGCAAGCTCTGCTGCTGCAACACCATAATGATAACCATGGCAGCAAGCTCTGCTGCTGCAACACTGTAGTGATAACCATGGCAGCAAGCTCTGCTGCTGCAACACTGTAGTGATACCCATGGCAGCAAGCTCTGCTGTTTCTACTTTCCTCCTCCCCCTCCTCCCTCCTCCTCCCTCCCTCCCCTCCCTCCCCCTCCCTCCCTCCTCCCTCCTCTCCTCCTCCTCCCTCCCTCCTCCCTCCCCTCCTCCCTCCCTCCTCCCCTCCCTCCTCCCCCTCCCTCCTCCTCCCTCCTCCTCCCTCCTCCTCCCTCCTCCTCCCTCCTCCTCCCTCCCTCCTCCCTCCTCCTCCCCCCCTCCCTCCTCCTCCTCCTCCTCCTCCTCCTCCTCCCTCCTCCTCCTCCTCCTCCCCTCCCCCTCCTCCTCCCCTCCTCCTCCTCCTCCTCCCTCCTCCCCTCCTCCTCCTTCCTCCTCCTCCTTCTCCTCCTCCTCCTTCCTCCTTTCCTCCTCCTTCTTCCCTTTCCCTTTCCTCCCTCCTCCTCTCCTTCCTCCTCTCCTTCCTTCTCCTCCTTTCCCTCCTCCTTCCTCTCCTCCTCCTCTCTCCTTCCTTCCCTCCTCTCCTCCTTCCTCCTCCTTTCCTTCTCTCCTCCCTCCTCCTCCTCCTCCTCCTCCTCCTCCTCCCTCCTCTCCTCCCTCCTCCTCCCTCCTCCTCCTCCTCCTCCTCCTCCTCCTCCTCTCCTCCTCCTCCTCCTCCTCCTCCTCCTCCTTCTCCTCCCCTTCCTGGCAGCAAGCTCTGCTGTTTCTACTCCTCTCTCCTCCTCCCTCCCTCCTCCCTCCTCTTCCCTCCCTCTTCCTCCCTCCTCCTCCTCTCCCCTCCTCCTCCTCCCTCCCTCCTCCTTCCTCCTCCTCCTTCCTCCTCCTCCTCTCCTTCCTCCTCCTTCCTCCTCCTCCTTCCTCCTCCTCCCTCCTCCTTCCTCCTCCTCCTCCTCCTTCCTCCTCCCTCCTTCCTCTCCTTCCTTCTCCTCCTCCCTCCTCACTCTCCTCTCCTCCTCCTCCTCCTCCTCCTCCTCCTCCTCCTCCCTCCTCCTCCTCCTCCTCCTCCTCCCTCCTCCTTCCTCCTCCTCCTCCTCCTCCTCTCCTCCTCCCTCCTCCTCCTCCCTCCTCCTCCTCCTCCTCCTCCTCCTCCTCCTCCTCCCTCCTCCTCCTCCTCTCTCCTCCTCCTTCCTCCTCTCCCTCCTCCTCCTCCCTCCTTCCTTCTCCTCCTCTTTCTTCCTCCTCCTCTCTTCCTCCTCCCTCCCCTCCTCCTCCTCTCCTCCTCCTTCCTCCTCCTCCCTCCTCCTCCTCCTCCTTCCTCCTCCTACATTGTACTGTAGTGCTCATAAAGTAATGTACGATATTTAAATATTTATTGTCAGATTTTATTACTTTAAAAAGTAATAGTTTATTTAACTTCATTTTTTGTTATGACTGTAATGGCCTTACTTTTTATTACTTTGCATTGCATTTATTTCCCAGTGTCATGCTTTATAAGTTTTTGTATATACCTGAATCAAAATGCCTTAGAAATATAATTTTTTTACTGTTAAATGTGCCTGTATTAGGGAATATTTGTTGATTTTCTTAGTTTTAGTTAGTTTGATTTTCTCCAGATTTCAGTGTAATAATAACCATATAGTTCTTTCTCAGTTTGAAGGATAATTGTGAGGCAGTGTAGTCTGTGTAAATGTTTTCAGTGATAAGTGGTATATCCCACATTTTCATTTTGAATTTGACTTTACAGGTGGACCCCACTTAAACAGCAGGTTAGGTTCCGGGCTACTGCTGTAAAGTGAAAATTGCTGTAAAGTGAAACATATCCTTTTTTTTTTTTTCACTTTCAAATAGATATAAAAGCTTGATAATATGTTTGCACTATATTAAGTGAGCACTGAAGCTAAGCCTTAAAAATGCATTTACAGTGGAACCTCGTCAAATTTGGTTTTCGTCAGAAAGCCAAATTTGACGTAAACTGAAGCAGTATTTCCCATAAGAAATAATGTAAATCCAATTAATCCATTCCAGGCACCCAAAAATATTAAAAAGAAAAAATACATTTTATAGAGAATATAGTTTTACATACAGAAAACAATGAGAAATAAATATAAAGCACTAATGGAATGAATAAATGAATATTTAAATCACCTTAGCTTTATTGAAGACTCTTGTTAGCATATGGAAGATGGCGAGGAGGGGAGAGGGAGGAGAAGTTATCTCTACCACCATCACTACCACCCTCTACCACCATTGAATTCTATTGTGTTTCTTGCCTTCATCAAAGGGCTGGCACTTGGAACTTTCTTTGGCCCCATGGTGACTTAGCAGTCGCACTCGGTAAACAAGCACAAAAAACAATGGATTATTACGAAATGTTTCGTATGAATGCACAGGGTAATGTTCGCTTGATGAGAGAGAAAGCCAGACTGACTCAGAATGTGTGCGTGGGATGCTTTGTGTGGGCATGGGCAGGCAGACACGTTTGGTACGGCGGACGAAAACCGAGGTGATGAATGAAAACTGGGACAATATTTTGACAAAAAAAGAGTCATTGACAACCGAATTCAATGAAAACCAGGGCAAACAAAAACCGAGGTTCCACTGTACAGTACACACATTACTTACCTGAAAATGTTTTCGACCTTAGCTTATAGCGATTCGTGAATACATTTATTGTAGGAAGTCTAAATAAATGAAGAATGGGTCTACTAATTGAAAATCACTGCATTAGCAAAATGCTCTAAAGTGAAGTGCTGTAAAGTGGGGCCCTCCTGTATTTGGTTGTCAAAATCATTACTGCTCTCTTGAGATGGCTATGCACAAGTAGAAGAATCCAAAGATAATCATTTTGAGCACTTGCTGATGTTAGCTTACAGCTTAGTCCAAATACAATAATGCTGAAAGCTTTACAGCTGAGATTAAACATAGCTGGAAGCAGGAATTGTGGATAAAATATCAATTTATAAATCAAGATCAATTGATAAAGATGTGAATGGGAAGCTTGTAGATTGCTGGAAAATGCTTCTGGTACGAGGAAAAATTATTTTTACCATCTCGTGTTAAAGTAAAGAAATTGATACGAAAGCAATTGAAAAATCAGAGTTTTGTATGTGAAGGCAGTTTTAAAGAATATTGAAGACTAAATAAGAAATTGGAATTTTTTTTTTTTTTTTTATGAAAAGTATTTGGAGTGAGAGAAAAGACATGAAATTTCACTTCCAAAGAAAAGTGATGTAAATATATGTAGAATGTTTACAAAGTTGATAAGGCAAAAAGTAGTAGTGAGATATATCATTGTGTGAAACATTTGCTATACCATGATGATACTGTTTTGGATTTAACCCTTTCACTGTCTGATATGTAGATCTGCATTTTTGGTACCAGGGTCGCTTATATAGATCTGCGCTTTGAGCTCGGCTCCCTTTGATAAACGGTAAATAACAAAAAGGCAGAATACCATGACTGGAACAGTACACGGATAACCCACACATATGAGAGAGGAGCTAACGACGATGTTTCGGTCTGACTTGGACCATTTACAAAATTACACTAACTGCAAGGAGAGGAGGGAGTATATATAAGCCAGTAGACAGGACAGGATAAGAGAAGTAGTAGAAAAGGAAGAGAGAGAGAGAGTAGTATAGTTGTAGTAGTACAGCCATTTATTGATGCCCTTAATAATCTTGCCCCTTCCATTAAGTTTAAAGCTGAATGAGAATCTAATTCTTTGCTTCCTTTCCTTGATGTTCATGTCCACCTCTCAAATACAAGTTTTGCTTTTTCTGTTTATCGCAAGCATATGCACAGTGGCATGTACATTCACTACTTTTCTTATCATGCTTCCTCTGTCAAGAAAAGTGTTCTTATTTCTGTCTTTCTCTGTGCTCTCTGCATTTGTGATCATCAGTTCCTTGAATCAGAAATTTCCACTCTTCATAAT